TACTACTACTACTACTACTACTACTACTGCTACTGCTGCTACTACTATGACTACTACTACGACCGATGCTGTGGCAACGACGGCTACAACTACCACTACTAACACACAATTCCTACTACTACGACGACTCCCACTACCACTTCTACTCCAGCTCATAATACTACTACCGCTACTACCACTACTACTACTACTACTACTACTACTACTACTGCTACTACTACTACTACTACTACTACTGCTACTACTACTACTACTAATACTACTACTACTACTTCTGCTACTACTGTTCCTGCTACTGCTACTACTACTACTACTACTACTACGACTACTACTACTACTACTACTACTACTACTACGACCACTACCACTACGACTACGACTACTCCTGCTACTACTACTTCTACTACTACCACTACCTCTCCTAACTGCTACTACTACTACTACTACTACTACTACTACTACTGCTACTATTACTACTACTACTACTACTACTACTACTACTACGCCTACTCCTACTACTACTACTACTACTACTACTACTGCTACTGCTACTACTACTTCTACTACTACTACTACTACGACTACTACTACGCTAATACCGCTGCTACCACTATCTACACCTGTTACTACTATACTTCTACTATATACTACTAGTATACTACTCACTACTCTACTACTACTACTACTACTACGACTAGACTACGACTACGACTAGACTATACTACCACACCACCCTACTACGAAACTACTACTACTACTAGTACTAGTTATATACGATTACTAGTACTAGTACTAGTACTAGTACTAGTACTAGTACTTAGTACTAGTACTAGTACTAGTACTACTATACTACTACTACTACTACTACTACTACTACTACTGCTGCTACTGCTAATGCTACTACTACTGCTACGGCGATTACTACTACAATTACAACTACTGCTACTACTACTACTACTACTACTACTACTCCGACTACTGCTACTACGACTACTACTACTACTGCTACTACTACTACTACTACTACTACTACTACTACTACTACTACTACTACTACTCATACAAATACTGATACTACTACCTCCAACGAGAATCCGACTACTACGACGACTACTACTACTACTACTACTACGACTACTACTACTACTACTACTACCACTACTACTACTACTACTACTACTACTACTGCTACTACTACGACGACTACTACTACTACTACTACTACTACTACTACTATTACGACTATCACTACTACGGCTACTGCTACTACTACGACTACAACAATAACGAACACGAGCACGGACACCAACAGGAAAAATACGTTCACTACTGACACGTTTGAATTATAAAACTCATCACGATAAGCAGAACAATACTGTTAATCATAATCAGAATGCTTCTTAATAGGATTAAGATTGATAGTAATAATACCCATACTAGTAAGCAATATTCTAATTATAGTCATACGCCTGCTACTGGAGGATAAAAGCATGGAATCGCATTACAAGCTCTGTACGAACAGGCACGGAATGACGCTCTTGTGCAGGGTAGCCGAGGGGATGTTAACCGCCACAAAACATACAAGACACAATAGCCATCATGGCGAACAATACCAGGCAAATAATTCGGCCGCCGACCCCCGTACCGAATTTCCGAGCTAGAGCTTTGAGGCGGGGGAGGGCCTGCAGCACTTGAGACCTCCTGGGGTTGTGCAATGTTTGCAAAGGGGTGAGGGGCACGCGGGGAGAAAAAGAGCTGTGGTGGAAGGCGCGCCTAGGTCTTCGCCCTCGAACTCAGCTCCATGGGTCGCGATGAACTTGCTGACGCACCTGAACAGCATCCTCGCCCGCGGGTCCAACGACTTCACCTCTGACTCCGGCATGGTGAAGTCCCTGTGGAAGCTCGAAGTCCAGAGCTCCTCCCCCATGCACACAAGAAGTCCTCCTCTCGCACTCCTACCTCCCTCCCTTTTCGTCCCCTGCCCCTCCTCCTCCGATGATTCTGCATCCTCTGCCTCATCCTCCTCCTTATTCTCCCTCTCCTCACCACCCTCTGCCTCTTCCTATCCGTCCATCCCCCCCTTTACATCCACCCTATTATTCCTCGGAATGGAGGAGAGGGGAGGTGCAGGGAAGAGGGGAGGGACTCCCGATCGCTGCGCGGTACAAGAAACAGCACTTCGTGGAGCAGAGGGAGGAGAGGGTGGAGACGGGAGAAGGAAGAGACCCAGACATCTGGCGCTCCAATTTTTTCGACGCGTGGGCCTGGGAAGTCTGGACCACCTCCCCCGGGTCCGGCTCTTCGTCCCGAGTGGCTCTTTCACGGTCCCGAGATCTGGCGAGGGCCACCAGAGGTCGAGAACGGCCACACACCCGCCGCTCCACTTCTTCGGAGCGTCGGACCTCTGGGGAGAGAAAGAGACAGAGAGAAAGAGAGAGAGAGAGACATACAGAGACGTATGGGCGCCCCACTCTGCCACGTGCATACCCCCGGCCGGGGGCACGTTCGCCGGGGAGGGTAATAAAATCCGCCCGACCACCCCCGGGAGACGTGCAGGGCCGGATCTCCCGTCTCCCGGCCGGGGCCGCACTGCACTGGTGGCGCGGCCGGCCGTTCCGCGCCCTCGGCCCCTGGAGCCGTGCGCCTCGGGGCCCCATGGGGCCGTCCAGCAGCGGCCCAGGCGGGGAGGCGCGCCGACCCCCCCGCCCCCCGAGCGCGGTGCAGAGGCGCGGCGGGCACGCGCGCCACGGGTGGGCCGCGGCGCCGGATGCCTGGGCTTGCCGCCCCACCTCCCTCCTCCTCTCCTCTGGGTCCAGCACGGCAGAGTGCCGCGTGTACACCGCGTCGGCGTCGGGGCTGTCGGCGTAGTAGGCGGCGGCGTCCCACTGCTGAAAGGAGCGGAGCATCGTCTCGCCTGTGGGGCCAGCGCTACCCTCCCTCGTTCGACCTCTGCCGACCTTTTGCTTCGCCGTCTCCCCTCTGCTTCCTCTGACTGGCACCCCCCCCGTCTCGAGGCCTGCTGCCCTCCTCCCCTCTCCGCCCTTCCCTCGCCCCCCTCCTTTACTTCACTTCACCGGTGTGCCTGGCCGTCCCCTCACACTCTCCCTTGCCCCTCCCTTCCATCCCGTGCCCCTACCCCTCCGCCCCAAATTTAGCATCTGCATGACATCCCCCTCGCCCGCTTGCCCTTCTCTCGGCAAGCCTCCCTGACTCTCTGCCTGCTTGCATGCCTGCAAACCCCGTCTGCCGCACCCTGCCCTCCCCTCCATCCCTCCCCTCTTTCCCTCCCCTCCCCTCCCCTCCCCTCCCCTCGCACACCTCCCTGTTCATGCGTCTGTCTCTCTCACTCTCTCTCTCTCTCTCTCTCTCTCTATCTTTTTCTAACTCTTCCTCTCCCACTCCCACTCCCACTCACACTCCGTCTCCCTCTCTCACTCCCACTTCCGCCTCCTCCTCCTTCTCTTCTTCCATCCCTTTTCCTCCTAAACAGCTTCTCCCTGTCGCACCCACAGACTTATTGGTAGGGCGGGTCGGGCGTTTCGTCAGAGACTGCCTCACCACTTATGACCCTGAAGCTTGACATTCGCAAAAGCTTCAAAAGTGGAAGAAGTAGTTGTTTCAAAATGCGTATCTCGCCTTGGCGCCGCGCATCATCGTCTGAAAATGTTGGGGGTCGTTCCTTTCGCCATAGCATCGCGCACATTCATTTACAACCTTACAACAGCTTCAAGGATGGAGGGGAATGATGTTCGAAGTAATGCTCTCGCCGTCGCGCCGCGCACAGCCGTCGTAACAGTTTCCACCGCTTCAAAAAAGGAGGGTGGTTCCTTTTTCAGAATGGGGCTATCACCCCAGAGCCGGGAACCTTCGCCCTAAAGTCTGGCACTGCTTCAATTATGGACGGCGGCTCCTTTTCAGGATTGGCCCCCCGCCTAAACGAAACGCACATATGGAGAGAACGCTTGAATCAATTGCAAGATCTGTGGGCTGTTGAGTTTCACAATTTAGTTTTCGCCGGGGACGTATTCGATGTTGAACGTCAAGAACTTGAGCAAATGCCTCAGCTGCACGGACGGATAAAGGTCGGTTCCTTTTCAAAACTGACCGTTCGCGTGGGGCTTCGTGATTGTTTTTCTTTTTTATATTAAAAAAGCTTGAACACATGGTACAGCTGCACCGATGAAGGGCGACTCCTTTCGAAAACGGGGCTTTCGCTTGAGACTTCGTCAACGCCCATGGCCAAAAGTGAAGCCTGGCGCACGAGTTGCACAGCTGGGGGCGGTCCTTTTTCAGAACGGGGGTGTCCCTCGACACGTCGTTGCATTGTATGATGATGCCTCCGCGCGTTCCATACCACTCGCTGGAAGAGCACAGGGGGATTAATTCCTTGCTCGCCTGGACGGCAGGCCAATAGGGTGCTGGTTTTCGGCGAAGATGCTTCTTGAAGGGGGATACGCGCCATCGTTCGGACGTCCATTATCCGTGCAGTAGCCAATGCCGTGCGCATATTTGTTTCGCAAGATGGTCCGAGATGTTCCTCGAAAGCCCTCGCAGAAAAATCACACGTCGGGGCGATGCCAAAACACACAAACAAAAGCGTGTACGGACCCATGAGAAGGGGACTTGGGACGGGAGGGTGTATTGCAGCATCGTTCATGCATCTTGGGCTTACTTTGGTCATCATCCCTCTCCTCTTTCTCCTCCTCCTCCTCCTCCTCCTCCTCCTCCTCCTCCTCCTCCTCCTTCCCGTTGCGAATCCTCGCTTTCCCGTTCCTCCCCCTTCCCTCTCTGCTCTTTATATAATGCCTCCGCACCCTTCTCCCGCACGCATCGTCATCCACATCATGATTGCCGTGATCGTCGTCGACGCCATGGCCGCAGTGGTCGCCATCATCGTCATCACCACCACCACCATCATCACCATCACCATCATCATCACCTGCATCAACATCAGAAGCAGCAGCATGACCATCAGCAACATCAGCATCAACTGCATCAGCCTCCTCCTTATGATTATCCTCACCACACCATCAACAACACCAACGACAGAAACAAGCATATCTGCATCACCACCATCAGCATCATCATCATAATTATCATCACCATCTGCATAATCAGCATCACCGCCACCACCATCATCACCATAATCAGCATCATCATCCGCATGGCCATCAGCATCGCCATCGCCATCATCACGACCAACACCACCAGCAACATCATCGACAATCGTCATCCTCGCCATCCATGAAACTCGCATCAGGCATCAGCATCACCATCATCAGCAACAGCACAACCACCTTGCATGGTCACGCTTCACGTGGGACTCCCACGGATACGTTGGGTGCGGGGGCGGGCGCGCGGACGGGCGAACAGCTGGGTGCGCGAAGGAAGCGCGCAGCTGTCGCCTAAAACTAAACCGCTGCCATTTTTGTGGAATTGTCACCCGCTTGTTGTGTTCGACCTCCGTAGTTCCTGTCTTCCGATATTTTGTTTGCACCTCCCCGCGCGCTTCCCACGCGCCCTCAGATCCCCCTCGTAGGGCCTGGACGGCGGGGGCGCGGGGTGACGAGAGGAAGAGGAGGAAGAGAAACTCGACGAGGAGCGGCTTCCAGGAGGAGGGTGGGAAAGAGAGAAGGAGAGCAGGAGGAGGATGAGGAGGAGGAGGGGGGGACGAGAAGGAGGAGGACATGATACATATAAGGGGGGGAGGAAGTAGGACGAGGAGGAGGAAACGGAGGAGGAGGAGGAGCAAAAACGACGAGAAGAAGAGGAGCGAGGATAGAGAGCTCTATGGGGCGCCGAACACACGCTGGGGGAAAGGCCCAGCAGCACGTACTGAGGCTGCGTCGGGCGCCCCCTCTCTATTACGGCGCATGCTGATACACATACACACCCCTGGTCAAGGCAACTCGGTCGAGCGTCGTCTCTGCAACTGCAGCGCCGCATCCGCACTGCACAACAGGACGCCGGCCGTGGACACCAAGGTAGCAGGCCGCACGAGCAAACATGATTGGACACCTGAATGGCGGAGCGTCCGAACGAGCCATGGGGAAACATGGGTGGCAAGGTAGAGCGTCTGCCAGTATCTACTGCGGTCTACAACGTCCTGGCCCAAAACAATGCCCCCAGGAGGAAGCGACGATGGCCCCACGACGCATCCAAGACGCTCCTGGAGCGAAAGATCACAGAGATGTTGGTATGGACTTCTGTCGTCATCGTCGATCCTGCCTGACTTCTCCCCTCCGCTACCGCCGTTTCCTCATCCTCCTGCTCCAACTCCTCCTTGTCGCCCTCCTCCTCCTCCTCCTCCTCCTCCTCCTCCTCCTCCTCCTCGATGAAATATCTCCTATCCTCCCCCACCTCATCTTCATTCGACAAAATCCACAAAGACGGATGCGATTCGAAGCTGCGCTGCATGCGGCGACGCATTCCTGATCACGCCGACTCTTCAATAGGCTGTTTATAGCATGGCTTGGTGGGGATGCGCGAAGCGTGAAGAATCTCACCAGCCCTTTATGGCGTGAGTGGTCTAGGGAGCTCGCTTTGCTAAACCAATTTCTTCCCCTTCGGGGAGGCGGCTCCCCCTCCCCGCGCCCCATCCCCCTGGGTCTGGACGGGGCGCGTTGCGAGAAGTTAGAGCCCCCAGGATGGCCCAAAGATGGCTCAAAGAACGATCCAGAGAGGTCCACATGGCCCCCAAGATCGCTCAAGATAGCCCAAGATCGCTCGATGCTTCCAAGCGCCCTCAAGACCGCCCCACGACGGCTCCAAGTGCCCCCCCCGAGCCCCCCAAGGGGGCCCCAAAGAGAACCAAATCATTCAAGACCATGGTGTAAATTTCAATGTGTTTGGTCTTCTCGCCTTTTGACGTCCGATGGGCTGTTGAGGCCTCAAAATGGCTCCAGGATAGGCCAAGAGGGCCCCAGGAATGTCCCAAAACCGTCCTCAGAGTGCATTGCCCTGTGGGAAGCCTGCTACCCCACCGGATGGAATAGAAGATGGTGCCCCATACGTTATCCCATTGAATGGGATAGCCGCTCTGACGAGGTCTCACATTCTCGGGACAGATGGTGCCCGAGAGGGAGGTTATCCCACTTAGTGGGATGGAAGATGGCGTCCACTTGCTGGGATGCAGATGGCCAGAAGAGACCCCAAGAGTCCAACAGGGCAAAACCAAACAGGCCGGGAGGCCTCCAACATGGCCCTACAAAGGCCCCGCGATGGCCCCACGAGGCTGTGTTCACGGCCACCTGACCGCGAACACGGCCGTGCGTCACGGCTACCTGGCCGTGAGCAGGCCCGTGTCCACGCTTCTGGGCCGCGCCCAAAATCATTGACCTTTCATGGGTGTTATTAGGAATAGCCGTTAACATGGCCGTGTTAACGGCACCCTGGCCGATAACACGGGCGTGTTCACGGCAACTTGGCCGTTAACATACCCATGTTTACGCTTACGGGTTGGGCTCAAAAATTATTGTTGTTCCATTGGCTGTCTCAAACACCGCCATTAACATGACCGTGTTAACGGCCACCTGGCCGTTAGCATGGCCGCATTCACGTCGTCTTGGCCGTTATCACGGGCGTGTTCACGGTAACTTGGCCGTTAACGCGCCCGTGTTCACGCTCACGGGCGGGGCTCAAAAATATTGCTTTGTTCCATGAGTTTCTCAAAAATTGCTGTTAACATGGCCGTGCTAACGGCCACCTGGCCATTAATACGTCCGTGTTAACAGTCACCTGGCCGTTAACACGGGCGTGTTCACGGCAACTTGGCCATTAACACGCACGTGTTCACGCCTCTGGGCACCGCCAAAAAACATTGTTTGTTTCATAGGTGTTCCTAGATTCGCCGTTAACACGGCCGCGTTGACGGCCACCCGGTCGTCAACACGGGCGAGTTAACGGCCAACCTGT